CGATCAGTCCGGCCCCGCGCTCCCCGCCCAGGCCTCCGTTCGGCCACTTCCTGCTCTGTTCGGAGGCGCGGCGCGGCGCGGCCAGGAACAAAGCGGGGTGGCTGCGGCCCGGAACAGGGCGCGGCGCGGGCACTCACCGGGCCGCCGCGTGCGGGCGACGGGGCCTAGCCGGGCCGCGGCCTCGGGCGCCCGCCGCTCCGCATCCCGCGGGCGGGCGCTGGGCGGGGCCGGCTGGAGGCAGCGGCGGCCGAGCGCGCGCTGCTGGCCGGGTCTAGGCCGCCGCGGTGCCGGCCGCCGGGCGCTGCTCGGTCCGCTCCGCCTGTCCCGGACTCGCGTGCGCTACCGCGCTGGGCCGGCCGCCCGCCGCCTCGGTGCTGCCGCCGCCGCCGGCCGCCGGCCCGCCTTCTCCCCGCCCCGCGCCCGCGCCGCCCGCCCACATCCGCCTCCGCCGCCCCGGGCGCCCCCGGCGCGGCCCGCGGCCAGGGCGAGGCACCCCGTGAGCGCGAGCGCGGCCCCGCGGGCGCCGCCCTCGGGTGGCCCCAAGCCAGGGCCACGCGGGTAACGGAGCCCCGCCGGGGATCCAGAGCTTCAGCTCTGGCCTAGGTTCCCCGTTTTTGAACGACCTGGCACTTATCGGCCTAGCTCTCCAAACCCCACGGAGGCGGCGTGGGGAGTGGATCAGTTTGATTTTCTCAAGAGGTCCAACTGTCCCCATCTTGGGAGCCGGGAGAGGCCGGCCACCGGTGTCCTAAAAGCCACACAACACAAAAAGGAAGGCTACTGGGGGCTCAGTCAACTCAATACTGTCTGCCACAGAGACTGATAGGGACTCGGCAGGTGACAGGGAGAAGGGGACACACCTGGACGTCCAGAGGGGCCGGTGTATTGTTTGGGCCGACTCAAGGGGAGGGCTCATTCAACCAAGACCTCGCTGTGGACTCGGATGGGCGAGGCACGGGAGGGGGGGGCGGGAGGACGGGGGGGGGCGGTTCCTTATGGTGTCCCGGAATTGAAGAGTCAAGGTGGCTCCGGTCTCTAACCCATCCTCCGTCCCCCCCCCCCCTTCAGCCTGCCCCAGAAGTTCCTGCGCAGAGCCCCTCCCTCATCCCTGAGGCCCAAATTAATAATACCTTCATGTGTTTGGTATTTTTTCCCAGGGGGTATTTTTTGTTTTTCATCCAAGGGTCAGAGTTCATCTAGAGTGTAAACAGGAGGGCAGATTTAGTCCACGCTAGCGTCCAGAATGGAGTCGCCGGCTCTCGGCGCTTTTTCTCAGCCTGCTGGGGTTGACCTAGGAAACACACCCTTCTCCGGGAAAACTCTCCTCTCAGCAGGGGCACACACGCCTGGGGGGGGGGGAGGTCTGTACGTCGTTCCTGCACTTCTGCTGCCCCAGCTCAGAGCACCTCCAGGGTCCTAAATCAGAGGCCCAGCAGGTCTGTGCTGTTCCAGCTGTATCCCTGACCTGAGGGTTACCCTCAGAGACTGACAGTCACACACACCCCTCACTCAGCCAGCAAACTTTCACCCTAGGCCCCCTGATCCTCCTCCCAAACTTCCCTAATCCCAGTGCTACACAGGGCTGGGCCACCGGGAGCCAGCAGGCTGCCCTCTTGTGGAAGACATAGCAATTCCAGGCTCTTCTCTACTCTCTCTTGGGTGCTCTTTCTGGAAGCCACTGTTGTGACACTCCTGCCTGTGGTGAGCCGTTTCTATGCAGTGCCAAGTCCTGCATTTCTTCCTTCCTAGTGTCCAAGGTCTTCCTGTGGACAGAGTGCTCAATGCAACTCCCTCTTCTGGGCCGGCACTTTAGCAACACCCCTCTGGGGACTCAGAGCCCTGCCTTACTGTGACTTGCCAGCTGGAGAGGTTCTCTGTACCACCTGGACTGGGACTTTGTGACAGCCTTCTGGCATCTGTATGCCCCAGACCACTGGCTAGTGGAGAAGGATCTTAGAATGCCAGGTAGCAGGTTCTCAGCACAGACGATGGACTTGCCTGAGCAATATAGTGTGACGCGGAAGGTCTCCAGGCCCTGCAGGCGGCAGGCTCACTGTCTTTGTACTCTATGACTTCTCTGTCCTAGAAGCAAGCAAGGGGCAAGGCTTTAGGCACTGCTAGATGCTCTGCATGGAGGAAGGGGCTGGCAGGTGTCACTTTCCAGTCATTTTCTCAAAACCTGTGCTGCGGCAGGTAGAGGATCCATCTATGCGCACAGAAGCATGGCCCGGTAAAGGAACAGGGGTGCACTTTTCCTGACAACCTTTGACTCCCTACACAAAGCCAGACAGAAATAGAGAATGGGTTGCAGGCCAGGAGGGACCAGGGAGGACACTCTAGCTAAAGTGACCTTCATGCAAAGACAGGAATGAAGAGGAGCCAGCGATGGATGGAGACTTTGGGAATGAACTAAAGGCCTATCACCTTATAATATGTCATTCCCCAAAGTTAATTGTCATAGATCCTAGAGTGTACTTTGATTTCCATATTGTTAATGGGGATATTTAAAGCTATAGGTGGTGTTTCTCAACCTGTGAGTCTCTAAACGACTCTTTCCCAAGGGTCGCCCAAGACCATGAGAAAACACAGATATTTACACTACAATTTATGATAGTAGCAAAGTTAAAGTTATTAAGTAGCAACAAAAATAATTTCATGGCCGGGGGTCACCACGACATGAGGAGCTGTATTAAAGGGTTGAGGAGCACTGCCCTTAGAATCATACCAACCCTGGGAGGAGCTGAGGCAGAGGTAGGCTCTAGCCCAGGCAGGCTCAGAGAGGGTCGGTAGGGTCAGGGTTACCCTGAATACATGATGTGGGCCTTTCTTGCTGAGGCAGAGTAGGGGACAGTCAGAGGAGGAAACTGGCCCTCCTCAGACAGGGCTCCTAAGTTGGGGACAGCCAAGTTCTGCTGCCCCTCAGCCATGCTGTGCCTGGGTAAATGTAGTGTGTCTTGTTCCTTGCTCAAGTTGCCAGATTTAGGAAATAACTCATATAGCGAGTCAAATTTGCATTTCAGATACACTGTTTTTCCAGGATGGGCAGTTGAGACAGGGCCTTGCCACATAGCTCAAGCTGGTATAGAACTCAAAATACCCCTGCTTTGGCCTCTGTTTAGTGTAACAATGTGGTTTTCTTCCCTGTAGAGTCTTGATCCTCCCGGGCCCCTACAGCCCCTTAGGCTTCCAATCCATCAACTGTGAACAGGACCCTGAAGGCTCCCCCAACAGTCAGGAGGTCTCCTTCATACCTGGGCATTCTCTTCTGTGTGTTTAAGGAGCAGGCCCTCTACACACAGAATGTGCTTGTCTAGTCTACCCAAGCACCTGACCTCACCCTGTCTACTGTAACCCAGCCCATTGGGAACACCCTACCCTGTACAAACCTCCTTCCCACTTGCCTTCTAGCACTCTGGGTGGTGCCCACCCAACATTCTTGGTCCCTGGGCTACTAGCAAATGCAAGGTGGAAATTCAGAATGGGCCTAGCCCCATAGAAACCCAGGCCCTGCAATTTAGTGCTATGAGGCCCCTCCCTCGCCGTAGAATTGTAAATGAGAGCATCTAATTGACAGCTAATTGTGAGGGTGTCTCAACTTCAAACCCCCTCAGTCAAGGATACCCACCACATGCAACCTTGGGAGAGAAGACTTCCCAGGCACCAATTCAGCCTCAGCCCCTCCAAACCCAGAGCTCTATCGTTCTTGCCATTTCCTCGCCTCTAAAGAACCACGTGTCCCCACTCACACCTTCCTGCCAGGGACTCCCCCAAAACACCTCTCTAACATGCACTGTGACCTGCCTGCCTGACTCTAGGGGTCTCCTGCTGCTCCTCTGTGATTGTGTATCTTCCACCCATCCCACCATATCTGCCCTATCCAGTGCCCTCTGACACAGATCTTAGTGCACCTGGCTACCAGCCTAGCGTCTGCAGCGGATGGTAATCCTGTGTCAGAGACCACGGCTCTGCAGCCTGTCCCAGATACGTTAACCAGAGCTCAAGAGAATATTTCCTAGGAAGACGTGAATTCTTTTTGAGACTTGCCGTGTAACGGTAAGCGCCCTGACCCATGAGCATCCAAAAGGGGGTCCGAGGTCACGGTCCTGGCTACAGCGGGTGCACTGGTCCTGGGAGAAGTGGACGCCTGGAAGGCGTCCCCTTTGTCCACCCGGGCAGTCAGGACCCCATAGAGGGCACAGAGGCCCAGGAAACAAGTATCGCGAGAGGGTCCTGCACCCCCTTCCCGCCACAGAGCGCGGGCTGGCTTCTAGCGGGACCGACCGGGTGGGGCGGACAGAGTAGGGATAGTGAGGTGACCTCAGCGGTTCCGCAGCTCCGGGAAGTCGCCTGGCCTGCCCCCTCCTGCCCCAGCCCGGAGTTTCGCTCTCCGGGGCGGGGCTAGTAGCAGGCGTTGCCCAGTCGGCCAAGTTGGTGAGCGCCCCGCCCGGCGCCGTCCGAGTCCCCGCGCCCTCCCGGCCGGGGCGCTTCGCTCGCAGCTCCGTGCGGTCCGAGCCGCACGGGACAGCTTGCAGTACGAGCGGATAGCAGCGCGTGCGTGCAGCGGAGGTGAGCGCAGGGGCGGGTTCCCGGCTCCGCCTGCTGCTCCGGGCCGCTCCCCGCGGCCGCGCTGCCATAAATGGGGCCGACGGCAGCGGTGGCAGCTGGCGGCGGCGCGGGCGGGCGGCAACTCCGGCGTCGGGGGGCGCGGCAGGCGGGCGGGCGAGGCTGCCAGAAGTCCCGACTTCTACCCGCGCGACTCGGCCCCTCCGCTGCGCCCCGAGCCCCGCCCCAGCGGCAGAGCGGCTTCTGTTTACTTTCGATCGAGTTTTTCCTGCTCCGGGCAGGTGCCGGGGCAGCTCGGGGTTGGCGTTTGCGCGCGTCACTCCCGCGCCTCTCTGCGCGCTGCCTGCACCAGGGAAGGGCGCGTCGGGGCTAGCGGCGGTCACGGCATCCCCGGCGTGTTGACAGGAGTCCCGTTTGTGCCCAGGTGATGACTGCGGCGGCATGGAGTTCCCGGAGCACGGCGTACGGCTGCTGGGCCGCCTGAGGCAGCAGCGCGAGCTGGGCTTCCTGTGCGACTGCACTGTCTTGGTGGGCGACGCGCGTTTCCCTGCGCACCGCGCTGTACTGGCAGCGTGCAGTGTCTACTTCCATCTCTTCTACAGGGACCAGCCCGAGAGCAGCCGCGACACGGTGCGGCTCAACGGCGACATCGTCACAGTGCCCGCCTTCAGCCGCCTGCTGGACTTCATGTACGAGGGCCGCCTGGACCTGCACAGCCTGCCTGTCGAGGACGTCCTGGCTGCCGCCAGCTACCTACACATGTATGATATCGTCAAAGTCTGCAAGGGCAGGCTTAGGAAGAAAGACCCAGATCTGGAGACCCGCGCTCTGGGGACAGAGCTTCCTGGTCAGCCACCACACTCCCTGCCTTCCTGGTCCCCTGACTTCTGCCAAGCCGCAACAAATGCCAAACCCCCACCTCTAGGGATCAAGGCTGCCCATCCCTTGCCAACATTTGGACCTCCATCTTGGCAGGTCACAGGGGAGCCAACTGGGGCCCTGGACCTGTCACTGAAGCCTAGTCCAAGACCGGAGCAGGTTCACCCACCCTGTATCCTCCAGAAATCCCTCTACAGCTCGATGCAGCAAGGGGTCCAGCCTCTGGTGAAGATTGAGCAAGATTCATTCTCTGAACAAGATAGCAGGAGCCCACGGAGCACCAACCGATCCCCACCACCCGTCTGCGCTTCTGCAGCCCAAGACTTGGCAGAGGACTTGGAACCACTGAATGTCCAAGAGACAGGCAGCCAGCAACTTGGACTGGATGCAGAGCCGGTGGGGGACAGCGAGGAGCTGGGTCCCAACAGGCACCTCTGCATTTGCCCTCTGTGCTGCAAGCTGTTCCCTAGCACCCATGCACTGCAGTTGCATCTCAGTGCCCACTTCCGAGAGCGGGACAGTGTCCGTGCCAGACTCTCTCCTGAGGGGGCCGTACCCACATGCCCACTCTGCAGCAAGACCTTCTCCTGCACATACACACTGAAGAGGCATGAACGGACACACTCGGGGGAGAAGCCCTATACATGTGTGCAGTGTGGCAAGAGCTTCCAGTACTCACACAACTTAAGCCGGCATGCTGTGGTCCACACACGGGAGAAGCCCCATGCCTGCCGCTGGTGTGAGCGCCGATTCACACAGTCTGGGGACCTGTATCGCCATGTCCGCAAGTTCCACTATGGCCTCGTCAAGTCCTTGCTGGTGTGAAGTGTTTTTCTGTATCCCCCAAGGTGGAGGAAGGGACAGGGCACGGGTCTCTTTTGGGTGGGACTCTGGGACAGAAGGAGCAGCCCAGGTGGGTGGAAGCCCGACCTCAAGACTAGCAGGCTCCACCTGGGGACCTGAATGAATGCTGCTGCTTTTTAGATGGGCTGCCTCCCCCCACACCCTTCACTCTCCACCTCACACCTGAGCACAGGTTGTACCCTGCCCAGTTAGGGACAGTCTTCCTCAGTGTCCTCTCCAGCAAGGGGTCCCACCTGCCCATTCACTGGGCCTGGGCTTCACAGTGTGAGGTAACAGTTTTTCTCGGCCCCAGGGCTTCCCTGACACCCTGCTGGGATACTTGAGAGTGTCCTTGTGTACCAGCGCCATCATAAAATGACTCGCTTGTCAAAGAAGTCATTAATGCAGGTGCCCGACAGGGTGCACTGAGTGAACAGCCCACTCCGGGTGAATGGCAGCAGGACCCCTGTTGAGAAGGCCACTGGCACAAGTACCAGCAGGGGCTGTAGAGACACAGCTGACCTTGAAGGAGGCCCAGCTCCTGCAGGGACCCTGGAGCGTCCTGAAGGTGGCTAAAGCTGGGTGTCCCTGGAGTGACTGTTCCTGGAATGGAATGGAGGTGGGACTTTGGGCAAAGAAGGGGATTTGGGAAGGGATTTTCTTTATATCAAAAGAGCCTTCTCAAGGCCACCATATGTCTGCTACTCGGAGAGGACCCTCCAAGTGTCCCTGCTGGTCGCAAGGCTGGAATGGCAGATCCGGCCATGAGCCAAGCTTCACATGTGGAAGCTAATGCTGTGTTCCAGCAGGCCTGACCCTGGGAGTCTCTCCTGCTTTCTAAGGGTCTCCCTGGTGCTGCAGTCATTCCTAGGCCCCAAACACAAGGCCAAAGCTTGTGCAGCTTAACAAGAGCAATGTTTGCTGTGCCACCTCCTGTTGTGGGGCACGGGTAGGAACAGCTGTCACAGGGAGGCAGGGGAGGCACACTCCCCCTTCGTCGACATTCTTGGAAGGAAGGCTGGCACCCCTGAAATGTGAAGGTCTTCATCCTCTGCCTTTGTATTGGATATGGGCCACCTTACTTTGACACTTGCTCCCCAAGCAAGTCTTGCTGTCCCAGAAGCTTGATGGTTTTAGGAAGGGGTGTGGCAGGATGGGGATGGCCTCAACCTTGCCTGAAACAACCTGCCCCTCTCCCCAGCAGTGCTGTCTGCAGAGGACAGACGTGGGCCAAGTCTGTCATTATGTCTTCTGCTAACACTTGACTTATTTATTTGTCTGCTTGGTCTGGAGTGACGTGACAATTGGTCTCCCCATGGTGGACAGAACCATTGTTCATCTCCCGACCCTCTCTGTGCTCTCCTAATATGTCCATGGCTGGCCAGGAAGCTGATGCCTGTCCGTGATGCTCCAAGACTGGAGGTCCAGGGCAGGCTGCAGTCTAGAGAGCTGGAGAAGAGGCGATGATGTCCTGGCTTCTGACTCCACTGGTGATTTATGAGCTGAGGTTTCTCCCTCTCTCATGTATGTGTCTGTCTGTCTGACTGTCTGTGTCTATTTGTCTATGTGTTTGCAGTACTACAAGAGCAGGCAGAGCACCGCTGTGTTGGTTTTCCCCGAGTGCCTGCTTTCCCAGGGCAGGGAATCTGCCCTAAGTCAACACTGGACTCATTGTCTTCGGTGCAGTTACTGTGAAGTTAGGAATAAGTGACTGGTTCTAAGTTTCTAACTGGCACCGTTCAGTTGCCTGTATGCATATGTCTGACACACTACCTGTGTAGAGTACAGGACAGATGTGTGGAGGAGTCCAGGTGCATTCTGCTGTGTGGGGTTCCTAGGACCTCAGCTACTGTCCCTGCCTGTGGTCTCACTGCTGCTCTGCCCCTGGAGGGACCACTGGGAAATGACCACAGGACAATTCTTCCCACCTAGGTTTGCACAGCTCTGCTTATGGTCAGCCTGCACCGCTCCCAGAAAAGAGGACCATCTTCTATTCACATGTTCTGGCGGTCACATGACAGTGTAATAAAGCCAACCACAGGTGAAGATGGCTATGGCTATTCTTGGGGTTAGGAAAGGTGGGCATTGCTGGGCTGGGGAGTGGAGTAGTGGACAACCTTGGCACTCAGCCCATGAGGTATTCATGCCCTGTGGGATGAGTGGACTGGGACAGGCCTGGTGACAGGCACCCTCTTTCCCCAGCTGCCCCCCCACACACACACAGAGCAAGAGAGCTGGAGTTTGGGAAAGGAGTCCCATGGAGGCAGCGTGATGTGAGGAAGGGGCAGGACCCTGGCTCTCTACCTCCTCCAAATCATCCAGCCAACCCCCAACTGCCTCCACTTGGCTCTCCTCTCACCCCCTTCCCTCCACAGTCCCTTCACACTTCTTTTGGGCTGGGGCTGGACCAAAGGTTTTCTTGTTCCCCTCACTCTGTCTGGTCCCTCTGTAATGGGTGGCCGGGCTCCAGGCTGATGATCTGGGCCCTATGCCAGCTCCCCTAAACCTCCCTGTGCTAGCCACTGCATAGGAGTACAGATGTCCCCCTGAGCCCTCCAGGCTTTATCTACCTTCTTACCATGCCTCTGGGAAGGCACAGTACAATGGCCTCAGCATGTGACATCAGCTTCATTCTGCTTGGGCCAAGTTCAGGGAAGGGTGGGGGCTGTGAGGCCCTGAGGTCAGTCTAAGCTGGCACCCGAAAGGCCTGATAGTTCCTGGGCCAACTCCTGTGCCTTACCCAGTTTTGGCTCCAGATGTAAGTCTCAAGAGGAGGTGCCTGACCCTCCTTTGCCCCATTGCCTCCCACTAAGCCTGGATGGGAGCCATTGTCCCGCAGGAGGCCATGTCATGTTCCCAGTTGAGCCCATGACTCAGCCCAAGCTTCTTCCCATCCAGGGGGAGGCAGCAGCTGTTGCCATGCCATGGGAAAGAGAAGAGGGGGACTTGTCCCCTAGGAGGGGAGGCTTCCTGGGCCCCTCTGATCTGCTGCTCTGATCACTAAGCTTCTCACTATTTCTGGGCAGCATGGGCCTCTTGGCATCCTCCCTGGAGGTATCCATCTTGACCTGTTGGCCAGATGGTAAACTGAGGCTGGTATAAAGGATTGGCAATAGCCCAAAATCTCAGCCAGTGGGTGACAAGTTCAGGACTTGCCTGCCTCCTCCAGTAGTGCCGAGTGCCTCAGCTGTGTGGCAGAGTGAGGAGCACAGACCCTAGTGACCAGAGACCTGCGGCCCCCAGGGAACTGGCACTCAGCACAGCATCAAGAACAAAGCTGGAGGGCTGGAGAGATGGCTCAGAGGTTAAGAGCATTGCCTGCTCTTCCAAAGGTCCTGAGTTCAATTCCCAGCAACCACATGGTGGCTCACAACCATCTGTAATGAGGTCTGGTGCCCTCTTCTGGCCTGCAGGCATACACACAGACAGAATATTGTTTACATAATAAATAAATAAATAAACAAAAGAACAAAGCTGGAGAGAGTGAAGAGGTGTCCCAAAGCCTCCCCAGGAACCGGCAAGGGGCCCACAAGGTAACACAGAACAACGGTGCAGGGGGTGAGAAGTGCTGTGAGAAGGGGTGGGAAGGTCGAGGCCTGGGGAAACAGGTGGACCAGAGGCCAGCTGCTGGATCCTCCACTTCCCTAGCTCTTAGCCTCAGAGGCACTGAGCTGTCCACCACGCAACATCCACTTGGCCCCACCCCTTTCTAGTATTCAAAATAGCACAAGGTGTTTTTAAAGATATCCTCAAGGGGAGGCTGGAGAGATGGCTCAGCGTTAAGAGCACTGCCTGCTCTTACAAAGGTCCTGAGTTCAATTCCCGGCAACCACATGCACAACCATCTGTAATGAGGTCTGGTGCCCTCTTCTGGCCTGCAGGCATACACGTAGAAAGAATATTGTATACATAATAAATAAATAAATAAATAAATAAATAAATAAATAAAAGATATCCTCAAGGAAGGTAGGAAAAACACACTACAGGTACTGTTCTACACTTGACCATCTCAGGACGGGAGAGAGTGAGCATCGAGCTGCTCTGTGTCTCTGTACTGGGCTCTGTATCTATTCCCAGCTAAGTCCCATTTTCTTTCCAGACAAGCCCAGTGTGAATAGCATCATAATCACCCCACCTCTGCATCCACTGCCCCACGTCTACCATCATCATCATCTCATCCCACCTCTGCATCCACTGCCCCACGTCTGCCATCATCATCATCATCATCATCCCACCTCTGCATCTACTGCCCCACATCTGCCATCATCATAATCCCACCTCTGTATCCACTGCCTCATGTCTGCCATCATCATCATCATCATATCACTTCTGTATCCACTGCCCCATGTCTGTGCCCTCTCACACTGATTCCACCTACCTCACATCCAGTGCTACCAAGATTACTTCCACCATTGTCTCCATCTCCACGACCTTTATTACGACTTCCATCAATGCCCCACACTCCACTGCCTCCACCACCTTAAGCACTACCGCCAACTTACCACTAGTACCGTCCTCTCCAGAACCTCCATCTGCCTCTCCCTGATGTCTACAACTTCCATTCCGACCCCCAGCACCATCTCTCCACTCTCTATCACTACCTCACTATTCCTCTCACTTCTGCCTACTCCAGCACCACCACACCACCACCACTGCAACGATTACCATATCTTCTAGTCACTAATTCTACCACACTTACCAATGTCACTTCCACCACTTGTCTTCATTACCTCCACCACGACCACAGCCACCCTCTTATTTCTATCATGCCCAGCTGCTGCCACATCCCTCATTTCTCTCCCATCACCTCTAGCTCCACTGTCACCTCCACCCCCAGCACCCTCGTTTCTATCACTACCATTTCCCTCACTGTCGCCTTGGCCATCATCCAATGCCATCACTCCCCCTATCATCACATCCATCACTACAATCATCGCAACCATCACCATTCCCCGTGACTGCCATCATGTCTGTCACCAGCATCACCTTTATGAAATGAAGGACCCCTGACTTTAGGCCCACTGTCTTTTTTGTTGTTGTTGTTGTTTGGGGTTTTTTGTTTTTTCGAGACAGAGTTTCTCTGTGTAGCCCTGGCTGTCCTGGAACTCACTTTGTAGATTAGGCTGGTCTCAAATTCACAGAAATCCACTTGCCTCTGTCTCCCAAGTGCTGGGATGAAAGGCGTGCACCAGGTTTAGGCCAACAATCTTAATAATCTACAAGCTGAGAGGCAGCTGGAGAATGGCGTAGTCTCCATCCTAGGTGGGGCTTTCGTACCTGTGTTTTTGCTTCTCCGTCCTCCATCTTTTCTCTGAATCTTAACTCCCAATTAACCCCTTCCCATACAGAAAGTTAGTCCATAGCCCCATGAATCAGGCCTGCGCTTCTCCTGCTGGTACTTAGAGCACTCCTAGTGCATGCTGTGAAAAAGGCCTGTCAGTCACTTCCATGCCCATCAGGTCCTGTCCTGTCTCTTTGCCATCTCTCTTCTGCTTCAGTGTTCACTTGAAAGACAGAAAGAAGGCAGCCACCTGTGCATGGTGGGCACGGATAGCAGTGAGCAATCGGGGGCTGCTGCAGGACACTGGCACTGAGATCTGGGGCGCACCAGGCCAGCCATAGCATTGGGTGTTCCAGAACCTGTGATGACAGTAGTGTGAAGATCACTGCTGTTGAGCATGGCTTGACTCAGTCCACTTCCTGTGAAAGGCACCTTGAGCCCCTCTCCTTTCTCCTACCCCTGTGAACAGCTGTAGCATATAAATGATGGGGTGACCTGTGGCTATAGTTGGGGTTCAAGGGCTGCAAAACTGCTTGACATAGAGGGCTAGACAGTTATAGGCTCTAGGATGGCAGCATGCCAGAACCTCCGAGATGGAGGAAGGTGGTCCAGAGGCCCTGCAGTCACTGAGCACATCAGACCAAATGCTGTGGTTGTCAGCCATGACTATTCGCCCAGCTCCAGGTGTGTATAGTAAGTCGTCCCTCGGATAAGCCAGTGGCTCTCAGCTCCCTGGAACAGGATCCTTCAAAAGGAGAAGGTAATGGAGGTGCTGGGGCTGCCATTCTGTTCCTGTGCCAGCTGTAATCACTGGTCCAGTTGCCATGACAATTCTGCATACAGGACTCTCAACAAGACATGTCTTGTGGTCCCAGAGCAGGGACAGTAGATTAGCTCTGAGACCTCTCCCTGTGTAGACTGAGTCTGTGTCCAGAGTCATCCTTATGTACACGCTGTTTCTTAGGACACATTCACACTGAGCTAGGACACACCAAAGTCGTCCTTATGTACATGCTGTTTCTTAGAAGGATGCATTCACACTGAGCTAGGACACACCATGGTCGTCTCTCTAATATGCCTACCTCCAAAAACAGGTGCCTAGGACTTCAGCATGAGTTTGAGGGGACATAGCTCTGTCTGCATATTGGTGTTTCAGATGGCTGTGGGAGGCTGAGAATATGGCCTGGCGTCCCTGGACTAGTCCCCAGTAAGACTTGTTGGTATTTTGCCAGAGTGCTAGGGCACTCCCACGGGCCACCAGGAACTAACAGCAAGTGGGATATTTATTTCCTCCCAAAAATGGACCCTGGGTATGGCCTCTCTTCCTGTCCATCCTACCTACTGTGGCTTGCTTGCCCATGTCCTGCATCTCAGGGCAGGAGACCAGGGTATGTGGCATGGAAGAGGCCTGGCATGCTCCTATCCAGACATATTGCCTCACCTGCTCCACCAGCCAGAGTAGGAAGGTGGGAGAACATCTTCAGCCTGTACTGCTTCTGACCTTTGCCCTTTGTGCTCTGGAGCACCCCCCCACACACACACACTAACCACCCCGTCCTTATCTGATGAAGGACCTGACTCTGAGCACTCCCTCCATTCCTTCTCCAACCCCAATCCGTCCCCTCCCCTCATGGCCCCTCCTCTTGAAGTGAGGTCTGGGAACCCTTTACTCCCAACCCCAGGGGCCTAGGGCCAGTTTGTTGATCTTACCACCTTTTGCCACCTTCGTCCTCCCTCTTTTTCCCTCTTCAAGTGAGGTGCCACCACAACCCTGCCCAGCTCGCCTCCAGGTTTCTTGTCCTCCTCCTGGCCTGACGCATAACTTGGCCAATTCAAAGTTGTAAGTGTTCCATTTTCTCTGAAGTCCATCTCAGGCAGAAGGGGACAAACATGTCCACAATGTAAAACAGGCACTCTGCCCCATTCATACTAAATATAGCAGAGGAAACACTAAGGTTATCCTTGTGAGGAACTGGCAACACGGAGCAGCATGTTGAAATAACACCCTGAATTGGGGCACCAGACAGAAATCTCGAGGTCCAAATCAGGAGCAGAAGGAGAGAGAGCACAAGCAAGGAACTCAGGACCGCGAGGGGTGCACCCATACACTGAGAGAATAGGGATGTTCTATTGGGAACTCACCAAGGCCAGCTGGCCTGGGTCTGAAAAAGCCTGGGATAAAACCAGACTCGCTGAACATAGCGGACAATGAGGACTACTGAGAACTCAAGAACAATGGCAATGGGTTTTTGATCCTACTGCACGTACTGGCTTTGTGGGAGCCTAGGCAGTTTGGATGCTCACCTTACTAGACCTGGATGGAGGTGGGTGGTCCTTGGACTTCCCACAGGGCAGGGA